GAGTTCAATTGAATGTACACACATATACGGTACATCTACATTCCAAAAAATGATATTCTAATTCTAATTTGTCAATATATCTTTTCCATATGAGAGCACACTCCAAACTATTGTTTTCAATAATCTCTTTATATTCTACCCTTTTAGCTCCAACTCAATTCTTTCACAATGTAGAGTGATATCCACAAGGCCTCCATCTTTTCTGGATATTACCTTTGTCTTCACACTTACCTCTGTGTGATATCCTTATGACTCCTTATTTGGCCTGTATATCATCTCTCTTTTCACTTTTTCAGTTTTTGTTATCCTGTCATGGACAAACCCTAGATCTGATAATAATTAACCTTCCATTTGTACACCTTCCTTGACATTATCAAGTCCTGCCATCATCTTCCCCGTTTTGGTAGATAATTAAGAGGAAGGAAAATGTTTAGCCTCTTCTGACACCTCCACCAAATTTCCATATATCTACCTCTCGTTTCAAGTAAAATTCACAAATCAGTCTTCTCAGCCACCCCCCCCCCCCAAAAAAAAAAGAAAAAAAAAGAAAATCTGTGTAATGGGAATGCTAGGCAAAAACCATCAATCTTCATTATTTATTTTAGTATTTGCCACATCCCGGCAACTTGTTCTTATAAACAGTGTGTTTCCATTTCTTGTATTTCCCGGCGAAATAGCGGTATAAATCAACTTACGATTTCTTACGATGCCCCAGTTAATACATTCTGGACTTTAGGCAGAAAGTTTTCTTATTGCCAGTCACTTCTGTTGTATTTTATTCTTTAGTTTTTATCATATTCTTTTATTTCAAGGATCTATATCTATTAATTTTGAGTTTTTTTTGACAATGGATATAGTACTGGATATTCTGTCCCCTGTAGTTTTTTTTTTTTTCTTTTTTTATGAATTTTGTTTATTTTTGTCTATTCATAGGCCCTAGTGACCGATCCTGATTTCCCCATTCCTTGAATTGGCGGAGAAATGTGTTTTTCTTTTTAATGCAATTGATATCGAATATTGTTATTGATGTTATGATTATCAAATAGTTATTAAAATCTCGATAACAATTAAGACAATGAAATAATGAGAAAGACTCCAAAACTCGAGGAAAAGGGTAAACAGGTGATATAGGTAGGACTAAAAACTGACTTGTAGAGCCATCTATATGTAAATACATTAAATAAAATTGTATTACAGTGGGCATGACATGTATTCTTGCCATACGTGCCGATTGTGTTAATTATAAATATGTGCCTTTGTTTTCTAATTACACGAGAAAACCTATCTGGCATTATCATAAGCAATAGTTTCAGCGTTTTTAATATTGTTAATATTTGTACCGCCATGATAATCACGACTATTATTATAACAACTATTATTTTACTTCATATGCTTATTATCGTTTCATGTTGTTAGGTGAATTATTCTTATTACTATCATCACCTCACGAACTTCTTTCATTAAATCAAGAATCAAAACCTCAGGCTGGCTAAAGAAAGTTCATAGTATATCATAAAATATTTATTACTGCATTAATTGCGTCTGCCTTTATTTCCCGCCGTATCCTCCGCTGACGTGTCCGGAAGACCCGTGGCTTCCGAATCCGCCTCCGACGGAGCCTCCGAATCCGCCTCCTACACTGCTGCCGCCTCCGATGAAGCCTCCAGCGCCTCCGCCATGGCCTCCGACGGCACCGCCGCCGTAGCCGCCTCCGACCGAGGGGAGGACGCCGACTCCGACCAGACGTGCACGGACGACGCTGCCGCCGCCAACGCCTCCACCGTAGCCGCCGTGGCCGCCTCCTCCGATGAAGCTGCCTCCACCGAGGCCTCCTCCAACGCCACCGTGACTTCCTCCTCCGAAGCCTCCGGAAACACCGCCTCCAAATCCTCCTCCGTGAGAGCCGTAGCCTCCGTCAGCCACAGCTCCGTACATCACTCCCAGCACAACGGCTGACTTCATCTACAGAAAACAAGTAAATAAAACTTTCAGTTTTTAATATCCTATACGGGATGCATTTGGGCGGTCGAATCATAGGCACGCTGTCCTGCTATTATGTAGCCCGAAAACACATGGTATGCTTTGCAAAAGAACTAGGTTACTTGTGCTTTCCTTACCATCCTATGTATGGCTCGTAGGTAAATATGTGGCAACTTTTGTTACTAAGTTATTTCAAAAACTCTTTTTACGCCTAGAATGTTTGTAGCAGTGTAAGACTGCTGATATCAAGATAAAGCAAATATTCTTAAAAAAGGAAAATGTTACTCAGTACACATTGTTTACAAATAAGACTAGCATACTTTAAAACGTCATCATTAATAGGGCTTACCAGAGCACTCAGAACCATTGTGATTTTCCTTTGGTGTTGCAGACGAGGAGGAAGAAAATGAACTGTATCGCCTCCATATTCTTCCGAGTATTTATAGCTCGCCTCCCGCAAAGGCCACACAAAATCTGAGTTGTCGGTTTCTCTTTCATCGTCCACTAAACTCTCACACATTCAAACACATATATTTCTATTTGTTTGTATAGTTCCTCTCTCTATATTTGTCCAACTGTCTTCCCAAATCCATATCCATCGTCAAGGATTTCAGGAAAGAAAAGGTCAGCGTGCAAAGTTTATGAGTAAAGTCCATTAATTTAGGATACATAAGTGATGATTTATGAAAGCAATACTAGCACACAGATAAATGCATATACACTGTGTGTGTATATATATGAATATATATATATATATATATATATATATATATATATATATATATATATATATATATATATATATATATATATATATATATATATATATATGTAAGTAAACATAGAGGTACATATATGTATATAGTACATAGTGCATTTATATATATATATATATATATATATATATATATATATATATATATATATATCATCTATATATATACATATATACAGATACAGATACAGGTATATATACATACATACATATATATATACGCATACATGTGTGTGTGTATTCATATATATGAACATATATATGTACATATTTATTTATACATATATAATCACATATGTGTGCATACATATATATGTATATATATGAGAATATATATATTCATATACATATGTGCGTTTGAGTGTAAATGTATATATATATGTGTGTGTGTGTTTATATATGAATATAACTATATAATATATATGTGCATATGGTTCTATGTATATGTATATATGTATATATATGTTAGATATGTCCCGACCAGTTGCCTTTTCTGGGTGACGATCCTCATGGTCCCCGCCAGATAAAAATCATGGTCAAATCATATTCGTACAAAAATGAAAATACAGGAAAATGTCATTGTGTGTGTAAATACAATGACATGACTTGATCTATATAATATAAAACACATATCTATCTGTATATATACGTATATATACACATTTATGTGTATACATATATACCTATGTGTGTGTTATTCATTTGATTTACAACCATATCACTGTTATTGTTTTCTTTTCTTTTTTTTATAATTACCAATAATCAATAATCAGGCATAGAATACTAACTGAATTGTTATTGCTTTCTTCCTCGCTGTCACGAATTTCTCACGTATCTTTTTCATCTTCGAAATAAACTGCTGAGGATTGCAATATCTTACAATTAACGAGTAATAAAAATCTCAAGTTAGCGGAAATATAAAGTTGAATGAAGTTAAATTTTTTATTCTCTCGTCCCACATAAAATCCGTTTGTCTTTCATGCACAACTTCTTTTAAGCCGCATCCATACGTATATAACGCATACAGATAGATAGACAGATACTAGACTTTTTAGCAGATAGTTAAGTAAGCCGAGAGATAAACTGATGTTTTGGACTTGAAAAGTTTACGCTTCCCGCGCTATCTGCATTTCATTGTCGTCATTTATTATTTTATCATGATCACTTTCATTACTATTTTTACTTTTAATGTTGCTGTTTTTATCGTCATCATTATTATTGTTGATGTTTGCACCATCATCATAGTCACGTTCATTACTGTAATACTATTATTTTACTTATTCTTATTATCATGCTATTATATTAGTTGAATTATTTTATTATTATCATCACCATCACGAATCAAAATCTCAGGATGGTTAAATAAAATTCAGAAAGTATATCAAAATATTTATTCCTGCATTAATTGCGTCTGCCTTTATTTTCCGCCGTAACCTCCGCTGACGTGTCCGGAAGACCCGTGGCTTCCGAATCCGCCTCCGACGGAGCCTCCGAATCCACCTCCTACACTGCTGCCGCCTCCGATGAAGCCTCCAGCGCCTCCGCTGTGACCTCCGACGGCACCGCCGCCGTAGCCGCCTCCGACCGAGGGGAGGACGCCGACTCCGACCAGACGTGCTCGGACGACGCTGCCGCCGCCAACGCCTCCACCGTAGCCGCCATGGCCTCCGCCTCCTCCGATGAAGCTGCCTCCGCCGAAGCCTCCTCCAACGCCACCGAGGCTTCCTCCTCCGAAGCCTCCTCCTACGCCTCCGGAAACACCACCTCCAAAGCCTCCTCCGTGAGAGCCGTAGCCTCCGTCAGCCACAGCTCCGTACATCACTCCCAGCACAACGGCTGACTTTATCTACAGGAAAGCATGGAAGGAAGTGGTAAAATGTTAAACATTTGCCCCAGTGGTTAGCCCAACCATGGGGGCAGCTGTTAAAATGTAGTACGTGGACACTCTATCTATATAGTCATTGAAATACAGTACATGTAAGTTTATTAATCTCATTCGAATATTAAGATTGCTATCTATTATATATATATATATATATATATATATATATATATATATATATATATACATATGATTCCAGAAGATATAAAAAACGTGCTTATTCTGCCAAACATCTGTGTCATTTGAAAATCAGAAAAATACTTGGTAAAAACATAATTTCACACACTAGTGTACTTAAAAACGTTACCATTAAAAGGACTTACCAGGGCACTCAGAGGAGCCATTATGATTCTGCTTTGCTGTTGCAGACGAAGAGGAAGAAAATGAACTGTATTGCTCTCCACCTTCTTCCGAGTATTTATAGCTCGCCTCCCACAAGGACTCACACAGTTACCAGTTTGTTTTTCTTTCCCTCTGCTCTCTCCATCTCCCCCGTCTTCCCTTCCACCTTATACTCACACACTCACTTCTACGCAAGGAATTACTTCTATTCGTCTATATATCTTTACCTTTTTCTGTTTATTATACTGTTTCCTTACTCCGATATCTATCGTGTATGATTTGAATTGAATGTACACGCATATACGGTACATTCCAAAATTTTATATACTAATGTCCAAATATCTGTTCCATATAAAAAGCACGCTCCAAACCACTGTTTTCGACAATCTCTTTATATTCTAACTGGTTAGCAAATCCTTCCGGCTATTAAAAGCTACCCTTTTAACTCCAACTCATTCACAATTTAGAGTGACATCCACAAGTACTCCAATTTTTCTGGATATTACCTTTGTGACACCTCATTTGGTCTGTATATCATCTCTCTTTTCACTTTTTCAGTTTTGTTATCCTGTCATGGACAAACCCTACATTTAATAATAATTTACCTTCCACTTGTACACCTTCCTTAACATTATCAAGTCCTGCCATCCTCCTCCCCGTAATGGTAGATAATTAAAAGGGGGGGGGGGATGTGCATCTTCTTCTGGCACCTCCACCAAGCTTGCATGTTTCTACCTCTCGTTTCATGTAAAAAAAAAAAAAAAAAAAAAAAAAAAAAAAAAAAAAAAAAAAAAAAAAAAAAAAAAAAAAAAAAAAACTTTATCCGTGTAATGCGAATGCCAGGCAAAAAACATCAATTTTCATTATTTATTTTTGTATTTACCACATCTCAGCAACTTGTTCTTATAATCAGTGTGCTCCACCTCTTTTATTTCCCTGCGAAATCGCAGTATGAATCAACTCACGATTTGTAGGGGCCTACACATATACCCTAATTAAAGCCCCAGTTAATACGTTCTGGACTTTATGCAGAAAGTTTTCTTATTGCCAGTCATATTTGTTTTATTTTATTCTTTAGTTTTTACCATATTTCATTTAAAGAAACTATATTTATTAGTTCTGAGGGTTTTTTTTGACAATGAATATAGTACTGGATCTCTACTTGCATGGTCTTTTGTAAAAATTAATATCTAACCTAAATGCCCCTGATATACATTTTGTCCCCTGTAGTTTTTTTTATGAATTTTGCTACATGCAGATGGTTCCACATGTACTCAGCTATCAAGGTGTCTATTAATAGGTCCTAGTGACCGATCCTGATTTCCCCATTCCTTGAATTGGCGGGAAAATGTGTTTTTCTTTTTAATACAGTTGATATCGATTAATGTTAGTGATGTTATGGTTATTAAATTGTTATTAAAATCTTGATAACATTTAAGACAATGAAATAATGCAGAAGATCCTTTCCAAAACTCGCGGAAAAGGGTAAACAGGTGATATTGGTAGGACTAATAACTGACTCCTTGATGACTAAGTACTTGTAGAGCCATCAGTGTGTAAATACAATAAATAAACTTGTATTACTGTGGTCATGACATGTATTCTTGCCATACGTGCCGACTGAGTTAATTGCAAATATGTGTCTTTGTTTTCTAATTACACGAGAAAACCTAAATGGCATTATCATAAGCAATAGTTTCAGCGTTATTATTATTGTTAATATTTGTACCACCATCGTAATCACGACCATTATTATAACAACTATTATTTTACTTCATATTCTTATTATCATTTCATGTTAGGTGAATTATTCTTATTACTATCATCACCTCACGAACTTCTTTCATAAAGTCAAGAATCAAAACCTCAGGCTGGCTAAATAAAGTTCATAGAGTATATCATAAAATATTTATTCGTGCATTGATTGAGTCTTTATTTCCCGCCGTAGCCTCCGCTGACGTGTCCGGAAGACCCGTGGCTTCCGAATCCGCCTCCGACGGAGCCTCCGAATCCGCCTCCTACACTGCTGCCGCCTCCGATGAAGCCTCCAGCGCCTCCGCCGTGGCCTCCGACGGCACCGCCGCCGTAGCCGCCTCCGACCGAGGGGAGGACGCCGACTCCGACCAGACGTGCTCGGACGACGCTACCGCCGCCAACGCCTCCACCGTAGCCGCCGTGGCCTCCGCCTCCTCCGATGAAGCTGCCTCCGCCGAGGCCTCCTCCAACGCCACCGTGGCTTCCTCCGAAGCCTCCTCCTACACCTCCGGAAACACCACCTCCAAAGCCTCCTCCGTGAGAGCCATAGCCTCCGTCAGCCACAGCTCCGTACATCACTCCCAGCACAACGGCTGACTTCATCTACAGGAAAGCATGGGAGGAATTGGTAAAATGTTAAACATTTGCCCCCGTGGTTAGGCCAACCATGGGGGCAGCTGTTAAAATGTAGTACGTGAACACTCTATCTATATAATAATTGAAATACAGTACATGTAAGTTTATTAATTTCATTCGCATATTAATG